TGTGTGTATGTGTGTGTTGTACAGTAGCCACAAACTCAACACAAGTAAATTTCCTTGATGAGCACTTCTGGGTAGCAGAATCATATCTTCTTGTTCACTTTTGCACTGTACGTATTATCATTTAAAGTTAGACTAATGGAAAAGTGTTTCATTAGACTCCCTATTGCTGGAGAAGGGACTTAAACTTTAGCTCTCTCTCTACTCATCCATTCAACAAAAAAAGTAACGTTAATAAATCTTTCCCCGTTATCCTGAGGGTGAAGATGCTTAGGGTATGTGCTTAATAAAAAGAGTTCTTAATTTTTCTTAGATTTTGGCTTCTGGGATTCCATATACCTAAGCCAGTGATTAACTTAAGCATGTTTTAATTTTTTTAATATTTATTTATTTCTGAGAGAGAGAGACAGAGCGTGAGAAGGGGAAGGGCAGAGAGAGAAGACACAGAATTGGAAGTAGGCTCCAGGCTCCGAGCTGTCAGCACAGAGCCTGATGTGGGACTCAGACTCACTGACTGCGAGATCACAACCTGAGCCAATGTTGGACGCTTAACCAACTAAGCCACCCAAGTGTCCCCTTAAGTATTTTTATTATGAGGCACCTGGGTGGCTCAGTTGGTTAAGCATCCAACTGCCACTCAGAACGTGATCTCACAGTTTGTGATTTTCAAACCCCTCCATGGGTTCTCTGCTATTGTCAATGAAAAGCCCACTTGGGATCCTCTGTCTCCCTTTCTCTTTGCCCTCCCTTGCTAGGGTATAAGTTCTCTCTCTCTCTCTCTATCAGAAAAATAAATGAACATTAAAAAAGTTAAGATAATTTTATTGCCTATTTCTAATTTTTAAATTCATTTTACCCTGAATGGGGTGACTCTTTTAATATATTAATCCACCATATTGATACATATAGGAGTCTAAAATCTTTTTGAAATGATTTTGTGAATGAAGTCCTTAAACATTTGTATGATTTTATTTTTTCTTTTGGAGGGTCTATGGATCTCCCTTTCACTTATTTCTGCATGCTGTATAGGGAGAAAGTGCTTACAAATGGACAAGCTGTATGGCTCATCTTAATTTCAGCTAATAGTCAAAATTTCAAATTGTAGCAAGCATTCCACTGTGATTTGTTAATTTAGGAATTTAAATATGTTCCTACTTTCCATATTTCTTTCCTATTTTTTTAAAGTTTTTTTAATGTTTATTTATTTTTGAAAAAGAGAGAGAGACAGAGTGCAAGCAGAGGAGGAGCAGAGAGAGAGGGAGACACAGAATCTAAAGCAAACTCCAGGCTCCAAGCTGTCAGCACAGAGCCTGACATGGGGCTTTAACCCATGAACCGTGAGATCATGACCCGAGTCAAAGTTGGATGCTTCACCTACTGAGCCACTCAGGCACATTTTTTAATTCTTTTTTTCTTTATTCTTAATTCAAGATAAACTCAAGAGTTACTTATCTTAATATTCATTGAAACCTTTTTTTCCCAAATGGATATAAAATATAGAGGATTTTTAAGAGTTCCATGGGCCCCCATTTTAATAAATGCATCTATGTGTTAGTGGAATATTTGTTTAATTTGGCTTTCTGTCCTGGGTGAGAAATGAGGCAGCCAATGATAACCTACTTCAAAAAGCATATCATACTGGACAGATAGTCCAAGATTTAAGCTTGGGATGATTAAGTATTTTTGTTGCTGTTTATGATTTGAAAATTGGATCCATAGTTATGATTAGAGATGGGTCACTATTTTAATAGTTTCCATATTTAAAAAAGTTTTTCTGTTTTTACTTTCTTCATTGGAACTTGAGTGAAGATATAAGGATTCAATTATGCACACATTGCTAATTTCAGCTAGAGGTTACAATTGCAAATTTCAATAAAGGGAAAGTTATCATATTTGTTTCTTTCCTCAAAATAATATGTTCTCAGTCATATCTTTGTAAAGGAGACTTGGAAATAACTGAAATATTTGTTTTTAAATTTTTCCTCCCATTGTCTTGCCTACTTACTAGCTTTACACTTCCATGTTTTCCTCTCTAAATATCAAGACATCGATTGTATCACAGAATATAAAGTTTTGAGACTATGGAATAATAATAATAAAAAGTATGTTAAAATAACAACAGTTCATTATTTGGATCTTTTTGAAAATGGAGGAGGAGAATGAATTCAGGACAATTATCCAATGAAGTGTTGTATTAAAGCAAATTGGGTGTTCTTCTGCCCTCCCATACATGGTGAATTAGTCACAGACCTCTGATGAATCAAAGCTCCTTTTGATCTGCAAGTTATTAGCAAAGGCATAAGGGCTAGAGTGCATTTGAACAAACATGTAGTTGTCAAGTGTTTATTCTGGTGATTACAACAGATTGACATGAAGTTCTTTGAGATTCTGCTCTGCTTGCCTTTTGTAAATGTAGAGTACTTCAGGTTGTGGAAAATGTCTGTTGTATGAATCAAGTGACAGACGAGGGCAGAGGTTATTGACAGGTGAGAATAGTTATTCTGTGACATAATCTCCTTAGAAATAGCTATTATATTAAAGAGCTGATGCTTGGAGTGCTCCAGCAATGCTTATTTCAAATGTGATCTACTCCTGGTCAAAACTGCTTCAGTTAACTGAGATCATGAAACGGTAACAATAATAAAATTGACCATTTTAATGAAATATAGTATCAAGATTGGAGTTATTGTAACATCAAAATAATTTGATGATCCAGGTACTGAAATGTGAAACTGTGCTTATAGATGAAGAAATGTTTTAACATATTTTCCTTGCCCCAAGTCTCTTGTTGGAAATTATCTTCTAGTTTTGCTGTCTTCTCTATCTTTTACTAAAACCCCTGTAAACAAACAATTGAAAACAAAATCACAACAATCAAAACTTTTCAGGGGCTCCTGGGTGGCTCAGTCGGTTGAGTGTCTGACTTTAGCTCAGTCATGATCTCGTGGTTTGTGAGTTCGAGCCCTGCATCAGGCTGCGTGCTGACAGCTCAGAGCCTGGAGACTGCTTCAGATTCTGTGTCTCTCTCTCTGTCCCACCCATGTACGTGCTCTGTCTCTGTCTCTCAAAAATAAACATTTAAAAAAATAATTTGAAGGAGGGCATCCGTGGGAACAACCACATTGGCCTCCTTTCCATTCCTCCAGGGCGTTTGTTTGCACATCCTGTTCCCACATACTGAAATGTTCTTTCCACCTCCTCTCCTCTTCACCCAGAAGTCTCCTGCTCATTCTAATGGTCTTGGTTTGTATGCGACTACTCATCGAGGCCTCACCTGGGGACTTTCTAAGAGCTTCCACTCTGTATTCCCTGTTCTCTTCATAGCACAGTGTCTCTCTTAGAAGAGGTTCTCAAGAAATATTTGTTGAACAATGGACGAATGGGTACTTTGCCCAGTTGAATTTTTATTAGTGTTTTAATATTTTCTTGTTAATTTTTAAGAACTTCAAGTACTTCTTATATATTAAGTATAGTAATGCTTTTTCTTTTAAAAAAATAATTTGAAAAAAAGGAAGAAAAAAAAACCCCAAACCCTTCAGCAATGTATTATCTGTATCCCCCCACTTTTGTTTTCCCTTATCATGGGCTTCCAAAGCCTCAGTAGAAGTCAAATCATTGAGATATTGGAGCTTTACTTCCCAGATACTTTCACTTCCTTTTTCACAGAGCCATATTTTATTCTCATGAATTCAGTTAGTTTAATGTATTCAGTACCACACACATCCATTTTTAAATGTGTCAATTTACAGATCATCAAACAATGGGCATTCTCCCTACACAGGAAAACCATTGTCTCTCCCTTATGGCTCACTCGAAGGCATATTTAAATAAGCTCATTCCATATTTATTCCAGAAGACTATAGCATCAAAGCCAGACATTGCTTTCTTATACACAGTTTCACTGAGAGAAATTACCCATACTACCTTCTGAAGGATTTAACCAAATAGGACATGATTTTTCGGAATTATTTTATTTCCCCCTAGCTACAAATGATTCTGGGAATGAGATATGCCATCAAAAAGTGGGACTAATACCAAACGTATCATTTTTCCTGCAAATTTGGTTTGGATATGAAAACTAAGTTCCATTAAATAACCCTGGGAGCTTAAGCTTTTACATTAGAGAAACTCAATGAGTACAGGTTCATGCTGGTCCATATGCAATCCAAAGTAAGGTTGTTCTTCAAAAGGCGTAACAGAGATAATGGGAAATGAATCACATGAATCATAAGAAAAATAGTACAGAGACAATGGTTGTACGTAATCCAGTTCTTATGTAATGTAATTCTACTTCTTGTTTTTTTTCTTCATATAAGCTGATTTTAATATATTTCTATTTCAAATAGCTCAAAATCCACTAGATAAAATCCTTCTGTGGCTATGCTTACTTACACTCTTTTATTCTTCAACCTCTGAATTTTTGACTACTCCTGTAAATTGCTGATTTAAAATTTCATTTTGTTTGGTAATTGTTTCAGTTTTGTTGTTTAAAATTTTTTTGTTAATGTTTATTCATTTTTGAGAGACAGAGAGAGGCAGAGTAAGAGCAGATGAGGGGCAGAGAGAGAGGGAGACACAGAATCCAAAGCAGGCTCCAGGCTCTGAACTGTCAGCACAGAGCCCAAAGTGGGGCTCGAACTCACAAACAGCGAGATCATGACCTAAGCTGAAGCTGGATACTTAACTGACTGAGCCACTCAGGCACCCCTAGTTTTGTTGTTTTAAATGCAGGGTGTGTTTACCATTTTCTGCCCTTTAGATACAAGTTTCATAAAAACAAGAACAATATTCTCTCATTCTTTATTCACTGTATAATTCCACCAGTATAGGATAGCATTCATGTACACACTGATTATATATATACAAAAATATTGTTTACTATCATACATTAAGCATATCATATTCATATATAATATGTTTATTAATATTGTATATAATACATATTAACCACATAATATTTAAAATATTTGATCAGACAAACATAATAAGATGGTCAAGCACAAGTCACCGTGTTTTAAAAAACACAAAAAGAAAGCTTTCTTAAGGCTGTCACGCGCAAATGTATTGTCATATTTAAGGGTTTGCGTGAAACACCATTTCAAATTTAATCTGTTACCTTGCTAAGATAGAAAGTATTTCACTCTCAGCCATATGCCTAAAATACATTTTAAAAACGCAGCCTCATAGAGAAGAAACATCTATTTTCACCTGAATGTATTAGAAAATATATTTAGCCCTATGTGAGGAATATAGTTTGTAGTTAACTATGTATTTTTCTTACAGATGACAGTATCTGTCCTCATAGGGCATGATTCAATTTACGAGAGACACTTAAAATGAGATTACAGAGTCACAAATGTACAAGGAGTATCTAGTGTGAGAAAAACTGAGTGATACTTTTCATATTTCACCCTGAGGAGGCAGCCCCACGATGGGCCAGGACAAGCATGTGAGAGAACAGCACATCAGGTGAGCCTGGGTGCTATTTTGCATGCTGAAATCTCATTCTGGCCTCACTGTCTTCACAGTCTGTTCAGTGAACTATAGTTACACCCCCCAATGGCGTATGTCACCTTTGATGCATGCTACATTTTCCATAGTATAGAAATAACTTAGGATCCTGCAGGATAATAGATGTCCCGGCAGGAGAATGATGATATGCACGAAGCTTCTAAAATGAAGTTGTCTATCCTGTTCGGGAGCGTTGAGTCAGACATTGACTTCTCAAATATTACCGAGAGAAATGTCAAACTGTGCAATGTTAATTAACTGACTTATATTGACTAAAACTGAATGAGAAACTAAAGGAAAACTAATAAATTTGGACTTGAAATAAATTTGGGAAAGGATGAGAAAAGTCCCTTTTGTCATGTGAACTTTGGTATTTTTATTACCCAAGAAAGAGAGATAGGTGAGATCAAATATTGCATCATTGAAGGAAGATCTGACATTGCAAGAAAATCAGCATTTGATAAACAGCTCAATATAAAGTAGAATTTTAAAGGATGTATGCAAATATTTGAAAATTAATGCTAAGATCATAAGGTGATTTGCTATGATGTACAATTTATAAAAGCATGTATTTTGGTCCTTTTTCTTTAAGTTTTTTAAAAACATCACCATTTTTAAAATATACTTTTTCCCTATGAAAAGGTAGTATGTATTTTAGCCAAATACTGCCATTGTGAAAAAAACACCCCTAATAATTATCTGTAACCTAGAAGCATAGAGAAATTCCCATTAATACAGATCAACCATTTCTATAGTCTTGGGACAATGGCCCTGAAAATTTAATTTCTGAAAATGTTACTAATACCGAATGCTTAGTAAAAACACAAATTTCTGCACACTTATCCCAGAAATCAATTTATTTGTTCCTGAGGGTCCATGTAGCATCCAATACACTTTTTAAAATTTCTATGTCTTTTATCACTGTAAAGCTGTAACGGCCCAGAGACATCTCTTCTGCGGAAGTCAGAAATGAAATTCCTCCAGAATATTGCAGGACATTTGTTGGTAACAGCCTTAGAACCTCAAGCGTCTCTCAGAATCTTCTAAGAATCATTTGACTCTGGAAGGTACTTTTGGACGGCCATTGCTACATGACTTTCCACATAACAAGTGGGAAGTGAAAATTGTCATGCTGTAATTGTCGAAGGGAGATACACTGAGGTATGTTCGCTCTCTAGTCTACTATAAAACTTACTCCATTTCTAGGATTTTTCTAGATATAAAAGGAAGCAATGAAGTGGCTATCATATATTCTGGTATTAAGGAAGAGAGGTAAAGATGAGGTTAGATTCAAGCCATGAAGTTCAAAGTATTTAAGGTACCACTGCCAGCTTTGAAGATAGAGTGATCCACGTGCCGAGAAATGTGGGCAGACTTGAGCTGAGAACAGACCACTGGCTGACAACTAACAAGGAAATGGGGATCTCAGTCTACAACCACACGGGATTAAATTCCACCAACAGCCTCACTGGAGGAGTTCTCTGTCAGAGTCTCCAGATAAGTGTCCAGACCATCTGAAAGTTTGATTTAGGCCTTGTGTTACCATAAATGGGGAAATCAATTAAACTCACCCAGACTTCTGACTTACAGGCCTGACAGCTAATAAATAGATATTAATTAAAGGTGAAAAACCTGTATAACTTATATGCTGTAATAACAAATTAATACAATTTTATAATGCATCTAGGTCCTATTGAAGACCATGGGATCTTTCTCACTGGACATCTATGGATTTCCCATTGTGGGGTTTCTTTGATCTTTACATACAATGACTATATTAAAATGCCATCAAGGTCTTGGCTGACATCTGAATACTGGCACTAGAAAATTAATACAGTAAGAGTACAAATGTCCAGGATTTGAGGACTGTGCATTTAATGAGGCAAAATATCTACTTTTTATCTTATTTTATTTAAAAAAATAATGTTGTTATTTAATTTTGAGGGAGAGAGAGACAGAGCATGAGCTTGGGAGGGGCAGAGAGAGAGACACACACAGAATCTGAAGCAGGCTCCAGGCTCTGAGCTCTCAGCACAGAGCCTGACGTGGGGCTCGAATTCGTGAACCACCAGATCATGATCTGAGCTGAAGTTGAACACTTAACTGACTGAACCACCCATGCACCCCAGAATATCTACTTTTTAAAGTTCATCTGCTATTTGGGGCGCCTGGGTGGCTTAGTCGGTTAAGCGTCCGACTTTCGCTTAGGTCATGATCTCGCGGTTCGTGGGTTCGAGCCCCGCGTCGAGCTCTGTGCTGACTGCCAGCTCAGAGCCTGGAGCCTGTTTCAGTCTGACTCTCTCTCTGACCCTCCCCTGCTCACGCTGTCTCTCTCTGTCTCTCTCCTAGAAATAAATAAAACATTAAAAAAAAAAAATTTGAAGTTCATCTGCTATTAACAACAACCGTCACTAACGTACAAACAATATCTCTAACAGACAGACATACCTACTAGCTCCCATGTCACTCAATCCAAAGAGGAGAGTCTGATATCCTAGGGTAGGGGAGGGAAAGGTTTGAATGCGGACAATACCACAGGAACAAAAGGACTTTTCAAACTTCCAACCACACACCTAAGGAACTTATTTCTAAATAGCAACAAATGTTTCATTTTTTCCTTGACTGTAACATAAGCAGAATTAAAAGGCCAGCAATCTGTCCTCCACCCCCTAAATGGGAAAATAAAGAAGCATGTAGATGTTTTATAATTCTATAAGTAGTACAACAGATGAATGCCCATTACATTATAATTTTTGATAATTTTTATTCCAACTTGCAATGAATTTCTAGGACCTACATGAACCAAGTGGTATAGCTTTTTCTCTGTCAATACAGAATGTAGAATGATAGGCTATAAATGGTTAAAAGTAACAATAAAAACAACTAGACTGACTTCCTCTATTAATCAGACAACAACAGCTGAACCAAAAAGATGTGCCCTTTCCAATTTAGGCATGATGTTCTCTAGACAGTGGGAGTGACTTTGAAGCATAAAAAGTCGTTAACCTTCCTGGCATGATGCTGTAAAAGGTGTCTCCTTAGATCTATCTGCTTCCACAATCATTTGGATCAAAGAAAGGTGCCACTGGTCTGGTTTTCTCTTGTGACTCAGACTTCCATTTCAGGGGAAGTAGCAATGTGTTGCTTATTTTGAATCAATTAATCGTTTCGCCTGTGACTGTAGAGTTGTTCTGTTGTACTCTGAGGAAAAGAAACTTGGGCAAGTAGTTTCAGACAGCGTACCTTTTTTGCTTGCAGCAATTATCATCATTTGCTTTCACTTAGTAACACTTCCAGAGTCGTCTTAGTTTCTTTCCTCATAAAAATGACAGCACCTCAAAAATATTAGGAAATAGATGTTATAGGATTATATATTAAATGTGAAAACTAATGAGGCAGAGAAGGTAACATTGGTTGATTATCTGACTAGGAACAAAATTAAAATTTGAACAAGCACACTTGAGAACAGCAGATAAAATACTAGAATCAATTTTTACTCATACTTTCCAGCTGATGTTGGGGATGAATGATGGAATTTCTGCCCCAGACTGTTAAGAAACAGATACTTTGCAATTGGCTTGCCTGCGAGAAGGGGAAAAGTAATTGGTGAAATACTAAAATGTAGCTTGAAAATGGCCTTAAATTGAGTTCTTATTGGTAGTTAACTGAGATCCCTTCACCATGTCTGTCTCGGAGTGGATAAATTTATTATATTTTTGGCTATGGGTACAAAAGTAGTGGAGGGAGACAGCTCTGGACAATGAACAAGACAGCAGTATAAAGAGACTAACCAGGTATATACAGGCAGCTCGAGTTGATAAGATTATTTTGTTTGATTTGACAGTTTATTTAACTCCTGCTTGAGGTTTTTGAGATTTTGTAATTGCTGAATGATATATTGAGATGGAAGATCTTAAAAATGCTTTCAATGAATAAAATAAGAAGCAATGGTGGCATAACTTTCTCACTTTCAAAGTTAGCAGTGAGCTACTCTAAGGATTCAGAATGGCACATGGCAATGAGTGATCAAGGCAAACCAGGCCCTAGGTTGTGGAGGTTGAACATTTGGTAACAGAAAAGACACTGAGATAAAACAGAGTGATTAAGGGGAAGCTTAGTTAAAAGGAAAGTTTAATAAACCTTAGGTTGAGATATTCAGGATTTGTTCAGGAAAAATCAGGAATCAGGGCACTGGGTGTCTCAGTTGTTTGAGCATCTGACTTTTGATTTCGGCTCAGGTCATGATCCCAGAGTCATGGGATGGAGCACTTCATCGGGCGCTGCACCGAACTTGGAGCCTGCTTAAGATTTTCTCTCTCTCTTCCTGTGCCACTCTCCCCTGCTTGCACTCTTGCACTAAAATATTTTTTTTATTAAAAAAAAGTCAAGAATCTATTTCTGTCAAAAAAAATAACAAAGCCACACACAGGGCACTGCTTGTCACTTATTAGATTGGTAAAAGTCAAAATGTGTTGTAAACAGAATCTGCTAGTGTTGGTAGGATGACACTTTAATACATTATTGGTGGAAATGTAAACTTTTAAACACGATGAAGGAATGACAATTTAAATGCTTATCAACAGTTTAAAATATACACACTTTTTAAAGTTCATTTTTATTTATTGAGAATGATACAGAGAGCAAGTGGGAGAGGGGCAGAGATAGAAGGAGACAGAATCCCAAGCAGGCTCCACCCTGTCACCGCAGAGCCTGATGTGAAGCTCAAACTCAAAATCCATTAGATCATGACCTGAACCAAAATCAAGAGCCTGATGCTTAACAGACTCAACTTCAGACTAAATCACCCAGGCACCCCTGTACATACTAGTTGTTGTTGTTGTTGTTTTTTAATTTATTTCTGAGAGAGAGAGACAGGGTGAGCAGGGGAAGGTCAGAGAGAGAGGGAGTTACAGAATCTGAAGCAGGCTCCAGGCTCTGAGCTAGCTGTCGGCAAAGAGCCCGACCTGGGGCATGAACCCAGGTGCCCCATAGTTTTCAAAACATTACAGAACTGGGTGCCTGGGTGGCTCAATCGGTTAAGCCTCCAACTTTGGTTCAGGTCATGATCTCACGGTTCATGGGTTTGAACCCCTCTTTGGGCTATGTGCAGACAGCCAGCTCAGGGCCTGGAGCCTGCTTCGGATTCTGTATCCCCCTCTCTCTCTGACCCTCCCCTGCTCACGCTCTCTCTCTCTCAGAAATAAATTTAAAAAATTAAAATTTTTCTTAAAAAGTACAGAACCTAGGAAAATTTCTCACAAATATTGTACATATATACAGCAAAACACAACTGCAAATGTAATCATTAAAGCATTTGTTTGTATTAGCTAAAGATTGGGAAAAATATAAATATTGAACAACATAAAACATGTTAAGTAATGCACAGTCATGTCACAGTATGCTTTGGAGCCATTTTCAAGAATGGGACAGGTCTAGGAGGATTTCCTGAGAACTCCAAAATAGAGAGCTAAATGAAAAACAAAAAACGAATTGCAAAAGAAGATATAGATGTGCTATAGCTTGCAAAGTTTTGGTCCTTTCAGGTCTTCCTGACTGCAAGACATAGTGAGAACAATAAGCGTATTCCCAAAAAGGCAGAGCAGACAGACAAAAAATATTGAGCTTTCTGATGACATCATTAAATCTACTTTTTTTCAAAGTTCTCATCACATGGGAAATATAATTCCAATTGCATATACTTTTCTATCAGCAAGAACTATTTTAAGAAAAACTTCCAGCTGATACATATATTTACCATATTTTTATTGTTAGCATTAGTGGATTGGAAAGTGTAAAATAATATAGAAAGGTAATGCTTTATTATGTTTCTTTAATGGAATATAATAGGAACAATATTAATAACTATATGCATATATTTCCTTAAGGAATATGACAATATTGTAGTATAGATTTGTTAAATATATGATGTACATAATTAACATATGCTTATATCCCAGCATATTTCTTTAAGGAATATACATATATATTTCCTTAAAGAGAATGGAATAAGTTAATATAGGGAAAACTATTTCTATGAATTGCTTTGAAGAATTTTAAATTCTATCAAGTTTTCCCTAAATCTTATAATTATGGATTATAGATAATTAAATTTTTATGTTAGTGGTTTTGAAGTTTGTATTAGTGCTTTTATGTTGTTGACT